CTATTACAGAACACTGGTTACAAGTTGGTGAACCAGTTTTTGTCGAAAAATATACTATCGTCAGCAGATATGATAGAAGTAATACAGACCATGGTGGAACTCTAATTTTATCCTTAGACAAGGACTTTTCTGCTGTATCTAAATACGACTTTCTACAAGCTGAAAATTTCTTCGAATTTTCCATTGTTAACAACAAAAACATTGATTTGTTTATTATTTGTATTTATAGAACACCTAAATCAAATGTTCACCTCTTTCTAGAGAATCTTCTTAATCTACTTGACGCATTGCCTATAAAAAGTAAGAAAATTTTATGCGGCGATTTTAATATTGACTTTGCTAATGTATGTGCTACTCAAAAGTCTTTGATCAATATTTTTGAATCATTCAGTCTCACTATCCACGTAAATTCTCCAACTAGAATCACAGAAACAACATCTACAATTATAGATTACGTAGTCTCTGATTTTAAACCCGTTGATGTAGAGCACCAAGTAATTAGCTCAGGTCTCTCAGACCACGAAGCAGTATTTGCCAAATTTTTGATACCCCGTAAAGCTCCAAAAAAAGTCCGTCACCAAGGTAGAATTTTCTCTAAGCATAATTTCAAAAATTTCTATAATTTATGTCTAACTACTGATTGGAATGGTCTTTCTGAAGATATTGACTCTAAATTTTTAGACTTCTTAAGTAAAATAATTATGTGTTTCAATACAGCTTTCCCCCTTCGCCCCATTAAAACTAAATGTCATAAATCTTGGACAACTAAAGGAATAAGATCATCTAAAAATATGAGGTCACTCATGTATATTAAAAAGTACACAGATAATCCCCTAATATTAAACTATATCAACAACTACAGAATATTGTATCGGAAAATCACCAAATCTGCTAAGAAAAACTATTACAAAAATCGCATCGCAAGAGCTAAAAACTCCTCCAAAGAAACCTGGTCTATAATAAATGACTTAAGGAATAAAACCCGTTCTTCAAACAGTGTAAATCCTAGCCCAGATGAACTAAACAATTATTTCGTAAATGTAAGTAAAAATATCAAATCTAACATAGCTCCGAGTCAGGATGCTCTCTCCTTCCTCCTACCTACTAAAAGGATCACTGAAAGTTTTTTCCTAAGACCAGTAGACAAGCATGAACTAGTGCAAACCATAAACAACATCCAAAATAAATTTTCCTGTGGAATTGATGGCCTGTCCACCAAAATATTTCTAAATATACCGGATGTAGTAATCAACATTTTAACTTCACTGATTAATGAATCCTTTGAACTTGGTCTCTTTCCTAACTGTCTAAAAACAGCTATAATAATCCCACTTCATAAAGGTGGCGACAAAACCAAAACCTGTAACTATAGACCTATCGCGTTATTGCCTACCTTATCGAAGATAGTAGAACGGCTAATAAAAAACCGTCTTTTGTCCTTTCTTTTCAAGCATGACATCCTCACAGCTCATCAGTATGGCTTTCTACCTAAAAAATGCACTAGCGACGCAATGTTTTCCGTTCTTAATGAAATATACACATCACTTAATGATAAACTTTTCACCGCTTCAGTATTTTGTGACTTCGCAAAGGCCTTCGATTGTGTAAATCATGATATTTTAATTAATAAGTTACAAATTTATGGCATACGGGGTTCTCCTTTACAATGGTTTAAAACTTACCTAGAAAATAGAAATCAACAGGTGCGGGCGAATGGTGAGGATTCTACAAATCTAGCAATAAGCAGTGAAGTACCTCAAGGATCAGTATTAGGTCCAATTTTGTTTTTATTATTCATCAACGACATCACAGACTTAAGAATAAGTTGTAGAATTACTTTATTTGCTGATGACACCAGTGTAACCTGGAATATTTCTAACATGCAGACATTACAATCTATCATAAGTGAAGATCTAGTGATCTGGTCTGATTCGAATGGACTTTGTTTCAACACCAGCAAAACTGTAGCATTGTCTTACAGAGGTACTTTACAACCTATAACTTTAAACAATAATCTGATCCAAACGGTGACTTCAATCAAGTTTTTAGGTCTTTATACAGACGATTCTCTAAAATGGTTTGCTCATATAGATACCTTAGCAAAAAAATTATCCTCCGCATGTTTTGCCATTAAATCGGTTTCTAAAGAGCTGACTCCTTCTACTGCATTAATAACCTACTTTTCCATATTCGAATCTCACCTTCGCTATGGTTTACCTTTCTGGGGTTCTTGTAGCTTATACCTTTTCGAATCTATTTTTAAACTGCAAAAAAGAGCAATCCGCTATGTATTTGGTTTAAGTAGTAGGACACATTGCGAAAATTACTTCAAAAATTTCAAAATTCTAACCCTTCCTGCTCTATTTATTTTCGAATCCGTCTGCTTAGTTCGCAAGCACATTCAAAATTTATCCGAAAGACCGACTCGTAGATATCCTACAAGAAATTTAGAGACTGATGTTTATTTAACAATGCCCACTTCTGACCTATTAAAACATTCCATTACCTACAATGCCAAAAAATTGTATAATAACCTTCCGATGCAATTAAAATCTATAAATACATACGATAAGTTCCGAAGACTGGCTAAAGCTTTTCTTCTAGAAAGACCATATTACACAGTAGCAGAATTTTATAACGTACCTTAGACATTTGAGCTCCACATACAATGGCATTAATTAAATAATTAAATATTAAAGTTTAAATTTAAACGAACTGGTTGTGCAAATCGCCGAAGAGATAAACTGGGAGAACATGGTACGAGAGATGATAAAGTGTAAGGAAAACTATGAAAATATCCATAGATACATAAGAGATAATAAAAGACAAAGATGAGGAAGAGAGCATGAAACCATAGGGTAAATGCAAATTTAACAAAGTTAACGGAAGCCCCCACCCTGGTGAAATACCATACAGGCGGTCCCGGGGTGGTACAAGGGTATTTTTATGGTGTTTTATCGTTTGCGTATTTTGTTAAAATAAAAACAAGTAGTAAAGAAATAAAATAAGAAAACAAATTAGGCAAATGTTCATTGTGGTTTCTTCACAATTTAGTTGCTTTTAAAATTATTTTAATTTTATTATAAAAAATAGTTTATTCCATTCTAGAACGAATTGAAATTGTCTTCAGAAATGAAGCTGTAAAAGTCGCTGTTTTGGGACATGTTGGATTGGATCATAAGCAAAGTACTCAACTATCTGAAGTTCCGAGTGTCTCTCGTTTATCTATAACAGTGGTCGCCAACCTGTCGATCGCGAGCTACCGGTAGCTCGCGGAGGCAATTCTGGTAGCTCTCACAATGATTTTAATTTAAAAAATACAAACTGCAAAAATCAGAGAAGCTTCCGAAAATTCCACAAAAAAATCTAATTGTCATAATATTAAACGTAAACAGCGGCAAAGTTGCGGTGAGCGATCTGCCGCTGACGCCATCAAGCTAAAATCGGCTAGAACCGACCAGCCGGACCAGCGCGTTAGTGTTCGAGAACGATCAGGATTTAAAACTAAACGCGTAACCAACGTCCAGCGGTTGGGTTAGTAGAGAACAACAAAAAATAATATTATGGCAAGCAGTTGTAAGAAGGTAAAGACATACCACTTTCATTCGGAATGGGAAGAACAATACTTTTTTACAGAAGTTAAAGATAAAAATGTGTGTTTGTTATGTAATACTTTGGTCTCTGTTGCTAAAAAAGGAAATATTGAGAGACATCATGAAACTGTACATTATAATTTTGAAAAATCGTTCCCACTACATTCTGCCGCCAGAAAGGAGAAACTGAAACAGTTAACAAGCAGTTAATTGGACAACAATCAATATTTTTAGGAACAGTCGACAAAAATAAGGCTGCAACTGAAGCAACGTACCGTGTGTCCCAGATAATTGCACAAAAAAAGAAACCTTATGAAGACGAGGAAATGATAAAACAGGCGTTTTTAGAAGCTGCTGATTCGTTATTTGCTAACTTTAGAAATAAAGACGAGATAGTTTCAGCTATAAAATCTATGCAACTTTCTGCTAATACAGTGATGAGACGTGTAGAAGTAATGAGCAATTATATTTTTTTACAGTTAAGAACTGACTTAGATAACTGTGTTTATTTTTCACTTTAACTGGATGAATCAACAGATGTCGTTGACACTGCCCAGATGGCCATGTTCGTCAGGATGGTTTTTAGTGATTTTACGATTAAAGAAGATCTTTTGAAGTTTATTCCACTGAAAGGACACACTACTGGAAAATATTATTTCTTCCGAGAAAATTCTAATATCGAAAATGGTAGGCTTGACAACCGATGGCGCTCCAGCTATGGTGAGTTGTGATAAGGATCTGGTGGCGTTATGTCGTAAAGAAGAAATTTTTCCGCAATTTCTCTGTTACCACTGCATTATCCATCAGCAAGCATTATGTGGAAATTTCCTGAAACTAAACAACGTTATGAAACTGGTGGTAAAAATTGTGAACAAGATTAGAGCTCAAGCGTTACAAAGAAGATTATTCAAAACCTTGGCCGATGAAGTTGACTGTCAATACGGGGACCTACCCAGTCAACACGTTACTCTCGGTTATGTAACTAATAGGGCTCCACGAGAGAACAATTGTTTGGTACCATAGTTACTACTAAGTTATGTAACATCAGATTGTAGTCTGTTACATAACATTAGTTATATATCTGATTTATTACAAAACGGACTATATACGTTATATTACCTTTGTAGGTCGCTGGTACATAGCATAGCAGTTATGTTGTAACACCTTATTTATAAATCAACCCTAACACCTATACCTATAGTTATACCTATTACCCTAGTACCCATAGCCCATACATAATACAATGTAATTTTTTCTCTTTTTTTTATCTAAGCAGATTCCAGGAATGGAGGCTGGTAGTAATATTTTAATTTTTTTATATTCTATTTGTCGCCGAGCTTTCAAATTTTCAAAGTATAATCATAAAATATATTTTCGTTTGATTTGTCAAAAGTCCAATTGAACTGCAAAGCTTAGGTAAACTATGAATGACAAATAGAAAGAAAAAAGAAGAAAATAGAAAATACATAACCTCAAACCTCGTCTGTTAATTCTTAATATTTCCTGTACAGAAAGTAAAGAAGAAATTAATGTCCATACCCTTGGAAGAGGGCGAGTTTTTGGTAGTTCCACTGGTATTGTAAAATTTGTAGAGAGGTAAAAAGTGCACATCATGACTCAACCGTATGCCGTTGTGTACTTTAAAGATGAGAAAACTTATTCGGAGATTGCAGCAAATTGGATTTTGTCTGATAATACATCATGCTGGTGGCCTGAGAGTAAAAATATAGCCTCATTAATTTTTAGAAAAGTAGTTCCTAATGAAAATGGACCATGGAAAATATATGACATAGAGGTTATAGGTTTTTATGGTAAGAAGAATAATACTATATCAACAACATTTAAGATTAAATTGGTAATATATATTACAGCTTCCCTAGATGCGGCTAGAAAAAAAGCTACAGAGTCAGATTGTAGTTCTGATGATGGCGATGATATTGGTAAAGGGTTAAGAAAAAAAATCTTGCTAATTTTGTAAGAAATTTTAAACCAAGTCAAAAAAATTATAGTTAAATTTGTAAGTATGAATAATCTTATTTTTTTAATTTTTAGCTGCTGTTCGTCACAATTTTAATGCCAGCAGCGAAAGTGAGATCGAACTTTTTTCCATCGGGAATGGCTTAGACTAAGCAAACTGCGGATGTCAAGGAAAAAATAATATTTTAAATTAAAATAAATTATATTTATGCTACTTATACATAACAGTTACATAACAGTATTATATATATATGTAGCAAATAAAGACATAATATGATATTTTATTTATTTACTTATATAATATGAATATTTCATAAAGTTACTCATATGTTACTTATCTTATAAGTAACAGTTATATAACATGAAGAGTTTTTCTGTAACGTATATGTTACATAACCTTCATGTGTTGATATGTAACCATGTTACGTACCTGTGCTAGGCGTTTCATGTTACTTGTAGGTTACTTGTACGGTATGAGCTACATAACGAGATACCTAACGATTGAAACTTTTTATGTATCAGTTACGTTACAATGTTGACTGGGTACTCCTTCACTCTAAAGTCCGATGGTTAAGTATAAGACGGGTGCTAAAACGTTTTAATGATTTCCTATCTGGCATAGTTCAATTTTTCAAACAAGGCGATGAACCGACTCCGGAACTAGAAAATTCAATCTGGCTTAGAGATTTTGGTTTTCTCGTGGACATTACAGAGAAATTAAACGAACTTAGTTTGCAGCTTCAAGGGAGAGACAAAGAAATAGCGGAAATGATTTCTAATATAAAAGCATTTACAAAAAGCTGGAGTTTTGGGAACAAAACCTAATTAACAGCGATGCCAAGCATTTTCCTATTCTTTCAGAAAAAATATCTTAAAATCCATTAGAACCCTATGACAGCAAATATCATGTAGAAATAGTTTCTACCCTGAAGAATAACTTCAAAAATCGTTTTAAGGATTTCAACGAAATGGCTTTAGTAGCGCAGTTTGTTGTTTCACCCTTTATGGAAATTGATATCCAACAGTTTGCAACTTGTGTTATACAGAACTTTGTTGAAGACATCGCT